TGGGCATAGCCCCTCCACTTCACGAGGAGCTGTCGCTTATCGCGACACCGTTGCTCCTGAGGATCGCTCCACGTGGAAGTGGACTTCTCCATTCCGGTCAAGCAGGGCGGAGGTGCCCTCGTACGAGTACGAGTACTCGGCGCCTCCCGAGAGCCACTCTCGTCCGAGTGCTCCGACTGCGGGTCCGACACGGGACCCTGAGGTTGACCGCCTCCGTCAACGTGTCCTCGTGCTTGAGATTGCACTTGGCCTTGGGACTGGCGGTAATGCTGCCGCCCAGGAATCAGGGCGAGCTCGCTCGTCTTGCGGGTCGCCTGGACCTGGTGGAGCGAGAGGTCGCGAGCCTGCACCTGCGGGTGGATCGCCGGGCCTCTTCGTCCGATCTGGACGAGGCCTTTCGCATGATCCGACGGATCGAGACTTTGTTGCCACGTCCGGAGCCGCCTGCGGCACACTCCCAGGCGTACGCGTACGGTGCGTACCCGGCGTACTCAGCGTACTCGGCGTATGGTGCCGGGGTCCGTTCGTATGGAGCCCCTCCGGCGTACGGTCTTGACCGCAGCCTTGCCGTCCCGACCGAAGCTTGGGTGCCTGCTCCGACGCCCTCGTCGACGACTGTGACCGACCCTCGCTTCGAGGAGCTGGGTCAGGGGGGGGGCTGCGAGTCAGCAACCCCCTGCGGGTCAAAGTACCGCTTAAGACGTCCGACATAGAACGTCGGGTGCGTCGTCATTGACTTTGGAAGGTCGATGGTGTAAGACGCACCATGTCTGGCCAGGACTGCAAAAGGTCCGATGAAGCGGTGCTTCAGTTTGTTGCTGCCGACAGAGCTAGCAGTGTCTAGAGGTAGGTTCCTCGTGTCTAGCAACACTAAGTCACCAATCTCAAATATACTTAAGTTTCCTCTTCCTTGTTTGTCCGAGTACTCCTTTTGTTTATCTTGGGCCGCTGCCATGGCATCGCGAACCCTGCTGACAATGTTCAGCTTGGTATCCATATAGGATTCCACCTGTTTCCGCAGCGAAACTGGCCTCACATCCGAGACCTGGGAGGAAAGGGCTTTCCGAGCCTCTCCCCCACTTAGAATAGAGGAGTCAGTGTCTCCTCGAAGAGTGAGAGGCACTCTGGGGTGGCGGAAGCCCCGTGGACGCGTGCACCGCGTTGCTGAGCGCAAACTCAACAACTGGGGGCTGCGTCGACCACGTACGTGGAGCTGCCGCGCACACACTGCGCAGAGTGTCCTCGAGCACTCGGTTAACGCGCTCTGTTAGGCCGTCGGTCTGCGGATGGTCCGCAGTGGACATCTGCAGACGAGTTCCCAGTAAAGGGAACAGCGTTTTC